AAAAAAAAAAAAAAAAAAAAAAAAAAAAAAAAATTAAAAAAAGGATAAGCTCAGCTACTCTTGGCTGTGTTTTTGTACACTTGCTATGGACTTGTTCCCTCCCAAATCATCATTTGGTATTGATATATTTTAAGACTTAACTTCTTCAAGCTGGAAAATCATATATCAACATATATTATGTTAGCTGAAAACGTGAACAAACGGCTGGATTCAAAATGGCAATGCTTGTAATAATGTGAACATATGGCTTCGGTTGAAGGATTCAACCAAATCCGAACAAAGAAGCTATTATCTTTGAACAGGTCGACTTTGATCCAAGGAGTTGTGGTTGTAATGGAGGATTCATAAAGGAAAATGATTGAATCACCGCTCAGAACTATCCCGACTATAATGTTTAGACGAATACTGTCGCTCATCATCAATGGTTAGTCTCATAATTCGTCAAGCAATTTCACTTTTTTTCGAAAACTACCATAATGAGTGTATAATTGTTTTGTTTGATATTTAAACAGATGAATTCACCGAGAGTAGCAATTGATAGAATGAGAAACTTCCTGAAAGCGACGAGAGTGCTTGAAAGAATGGATGGAGTACGTAATTTACATTTGTAAGGAGTGTTCAAAGGTTATTGTGAATCACGGCTTGATACGGAGTGGTGGCGAATGCTCAGACCCTTGAATATACAACCTACATATCATAAGTGCATGCCAACCATCAGGCTCCATAAAAGTAGAATTGCAGAAAAGATTAACCAATAACTCCATTCACATTAAAAGACAAGTTTATCCATCTTTTACAACCATCCATATGGGACATACACATAAAATTCAACCATTATGAATAATCGAACCAAATTCATGAAAGGGTTCAGAATCTTTTTATTAAACAATGATGAACAAGAAACCATATGATAGACAGAAGAGTGTAACATCACTTGAAGATGGAAGATATCTGCACATTTTTGTTCCTTTTCTGCAGAATCATCAAACAGATCCCTCCCTTATCCACAAACCAACATTCTTGTTTGTTTATAGAAAAAAGAAAAGGAAAATAATGGAATTTACAAGAGAAATTTTTAACTACAAATTTGGAACTCAACAAACCAACCTATAAGACAAGGGGCAGTGCTTTTGCAGTCATCATACGAACAGAATACAAATTACAAGCTGCCTCTCTCTAATCTTCTAACAATTAACTATGTCAATAAATGGCTGTATCACCCTGCCTGCTAACATGATGGCGGTTGAAGCTGCTTAAGCCGCCGTACCACCTGCTTCATCGTCGGCCTCGTCGACAGAGAATCTACTGTACACACAACTGCTAAGTGTAATACGTCAACCAGATCATCATGGGGGCCTCCCTCCCATAACCCTGATGTGAAGAATTCCTTGGCGCGTCCCTGTGGAAGCAGCATACATGCCCAAGCTACAATGTTAAAGCCATTACCGTACGAGGAAAACGAGGGATCTAGTGCTTTCTTGTCCGAGAGTAGCTCGAGAAGCACCACACCGTAACTGTACACGTCTGCTTTATCAGAGACACGGCAAGTCATGGCATATTCGGGAGCGACGTAGCCAAATGTTCCAGCCACACCTGTTGTAGCATGGGTTTCAGAAGTCCCAAGAAGCCTGGCCAATCCGAAATCAGAGAGATAAGCATTGAAATCATCGTCTAATAGTATATTGCTCGGTTTCACGTCGCGGTGGAGGACTCGTGGTACACACTGATCATGAAGATATGCAAGCGCACGGGCTATGTCCAGTGCAATCTTGTGAAGAATTCTCCAATCCACTGCTCTTGTAGATCTCTCCTGGATGAACTTTTCCAAATTACCTCCTGGCAAATAATTATATATCAAGAACATCTCTGTTTCACTGGCATGGTAACCAATTAAGGTGACGAGGTTCGGGTGGCGCAGCCTTCCAAGAGTTTTAATCTCTGCATCGAACTGTTGGACGCCTTGAAATCGACCAACAGCGAGGCGTTTTATTGCAAGTAGCACTCCCGATGCAATCTCTGCTTTGTAAGTTGCCCCAAACCCTCCACTGCCAATGCAGTTACTGGTATTAAAATTATTCGTGGCACGCACGACATTCTCAAATGTCAAAGAAACCCCAATATCAGTAAAAACCGTGACTTCCCTTCTCATTGATCCAATAACTTTAGACCTCGAATTCCACTTTCGGGTATATAGAAACAGGATAATCAAAGCAATAAGAACAGAAACAATGGCGGAGGCAGATGTAATGGATGCTATCTCAATTGAATTGAAGCTGCCACCTCCACCGGTCTGCGGTACAACATCAGACGGTGAAGCTGCAAGACTACTTGGGTCGCCAACTGAACCTCGCATTTCAGACGATGGCACTGCCAGTGAAAACATATGGCACGAGCGTAGGTACGGGTTTCCAATCGCACCACTACATTTAATCATGTTGTTCGATGGCAAGGAACCAGACAAGTTATTGAATGACACATTAAATGCAGAGAGTGTAGTAACATTTGCCAAACCGGAGGGAACCTGTCCAGAGAGTGAATTATTGTTGAGCAGCAGAACTTTTAGGCCTCTCAATTTAACAAGATCGACTGGAATTCCACCCGAAAAATCGTTATACGAAAGATCAAGCAACTCCAAAGCCTGCAACTTTCCGAAGGTCGAGGGTATAGAACCATTAAAGCTATTGCCAGCCAAACAAAGGTACTTTAAACCAGCCATCTGTCCGAGAGAGGCCGGTATGTGATACTGAAACTTGTTCCAACTCAGGTTCAGGTGATTCAGAGCTAATAGATCTCCAAAGCTGGGAGGTACCTCGCCAGTCATCTGATTACCAGATGCATCCAAGAACTTGAGAGAACCACAGTTTTTACCAATTGACTTAGAAAATGGACCAGATATCTTGTTATTGCTAACATTGAAGATCAGTCCTCCCATATCCTCACATTTCTCAAATATACTATCAGGGAATGGCCCGGTGAGCTTATTTCCACCCACAAGATAAGCATAAACAGTTTTCTTACCCAGTCTTTCACGTGGAATCGGAAACGACAGAAGATTTCCTGTAAAGTTATTCTCCCCTAAGTTATGTACTATCAGGTCATCATCTCCAAGAAATTCAAAAGGGGTTGCACCTCGAATACTAGTGGTAAAAAATGCAAGGTATCGAGACGATGGATCATCAAGATCCAAATATCCCCTTGAAAAGAACATCGGTGGCGAGCTTGGCGAGCTATCATTGCCACAGAACACAGGAATGTCTCCAATAAAGTGGTTACCACTAAGATCAAACAGAGACATATAAGGAACTGGAAGGTTTTTATCAAGCTCACCAGAAAGCCGGTTGGAGCTTAAATCAAGGACTAGGAGCTTTTTGCAGACGCTAAGCTCACTAGGAAGCTCCCCATAAAGGTAATTACCAGCTAAGTTAATCATCTCCAAGCTTTCACACTTACCCCATTTGGAAGGGAATCTGCCTTCGAGGTTTGAATTAGGAGCCCACAGTATCTTCAGCTTTGGAAGGGTTGTTATAGACTCAGGTATACCACCTGCAAAATAGTTAAAACCATCATCACTAAGTTCGTCTTCGTCTGTGTAATTGATCTTTGGATCGAAGAGATTCGAGAGCACAAGGACAGACAACTGCAGGCAGTTTCCCAGCTGAGACGGTATCGGACCACTGAGGCTATTCCTTGAAAGATCAAGCACTTCTAGTTTCTGTAACTTAGCAATGTCAGCTGGAATGGCCTCCTCCAACGTATTAGAATACAGCAACAGTGTCTTCAACTGATTGCAATTTCCCAAATTGCTTGGAATCCCACTGACCAAATAATTACCAGAGAGGTCGAGATGCTCAAGCTTTCCACAGTTATTTCCAAGCTCACTCGGAATGGTTCCTGAAAAAAGATTAAAAGACAAGTAGAGCCCTCTCAATCGACCAACAAACCGTGGAATTATCCCATTCAATCGATTTCCAGCTAAATTCAAGATCTCTAAACTCGCACAACCCGAAAGCGAGCTAGGAATCTCACCAGTAAGCCTATTGAATCCAAGATTAAGAACCCGCAACTTGCCCAGTCTATGGAAACCATCAGGAAGCACCCCAGTTACAGAGTTTCCTTCCAGATCAAGAACCTCAAGGTTCTCCAATCCAAAAATTTCAGGAGGAATTTCGCCTTCAAAACCATTAAACGGAAGCGACAAGGACCTAAGCTCGGTGAGCTTCCCGATCACCGGCGGAATCTTCCCAATCAGTGAGCCTCTAAAACCCATACAACTCCTCCTAATTCCAAGCCCATAAAGAGGAAATTTAGAAGAATCAGAGCACAAATGACCTACACCGCCATTCCCGGAAATGTTGAGTGACACAACCCGAGAATTCAAGTCGCAAGAAACGCCAAACCAGAAACAGCAATCAGACCCACTCGCAGTCCAACTCGCAAGCAACCCCGATGGATCAGAAACAGCATTTTTGAACTGAAGAAGCACCGATTTATCTGAATCGCCCAAAATAACTTCAGTCTGAAATAAAATAACGAAGCAGAAAAGCAAAACGAGCTTGGAAATAAGCATTGGCGAAGTGTTTATACAAGAAGAGAACCATTTGATCACTGAAAACGACAACAAAGAGGTACCCATTCCCGAACCCCCCCCCCCCCCCCCCCCCCCCCCCCCCCCCCCCCCCCCCCCCCCCCCCCCCCCCCCCCCCCCCCCCCCCCCCCCCCCCCCCCCCCCCCCCCCCCCCCCCCCCCCCCCCCCCCCCCCCCCCCCCCCCCCC